AAAGGAACAAGGAATCGTTACCCAATGATCTTCTCTTCAAAAACCTCACAAAATCGCCCTACCCCGAGCTCCAAAATGATTTTCCCATGTTTTGAACAAAACCCTCGATTCTGCCCCTTTTCTGCCCAGTTAAACCGCATCTGCGGCCCTGGGCCCGCACCTGCGGTCCCGCTTCTGCGGAGCCAAGGTCGCATCTGCGACTTCTCATTAATCCCATTTTTCCGCTCCTGTGATTGTCCTTCCGCACCAGCGGTATCGCAGGTGCGATACCCTTCTCGCACTTGATGCTCCTGCTGGACCTCCCTAATTCCGCTTCTGCGGTTGAAATGCCGCTTCTGCGGCTCTGCACCTGCGGGACCCAAACCGCAGGTGCGGTTATGACAGGTACCAGCAGCTAAGCTGCAACTCCAAACTCCAAAATCCTTCCGTCAACCATCCGAAATTATCCCGAGGCCCTCGGTACCTCAACCAAAAACACAAACAAGTCTAATACCATTGCCCAAACTTATACCAATCCTTAAAAAACCTAAAACAACATCGAAACACCAATTTAACATCGAATTCAAGCCTAAGAACTTCAAAAACTCAAAATTTATGCTTTCGATCAAAAAGTCTACCAAACCTCATCCGAATGACCTGAAAATTTACACACACGTCACATTCAACATTACGGAGCTACTCCAACTTCCGGAATCCGATTCCAAACCTCGAATCAAAATCTCGCTATCGAGTCGGAAACTTCAAAAATCTAACTTTCGGCATTTCAAGCCTAAATTAGCTACGAACCTCCAAAATAAAATCCGATCACGCCCCTAAACCTGAAATCACCCAACGGAGCTAACGGAACCATCGGATTTCCATTCCGAGGCATCTTCACACTGTTCCGACTATGGTCAAATTTCTAACACTTAAGCTCTCATTTAGGGACTAAGTGTCCCAAAACTTTACGAAACTCAAAACCGAACATCCTGGCAAATTTGAAATAGCAGAAATAACACGGGGAAAGCAGTTAATAGGGGATCGAGACGTAAATTCTAAAAATGACCGGCCGGGTCGTAACATTAGGATTAATTGGGTTAAGTGGACACATGGTCACTATCTTTTTTTATTCTTACAATTTTTTCAGATTAGTAGATGCCATTTTCTAGTGCCTATCTTCGTTTTCTTGCAAGGTCGAAATTCGAGGACGAATTTTCTTCAAGAAGAGGGTTATGATAGCATCCTAGGAAGCTTAAATATATTCAAGGACAAGGATGAAACTTTGGAATATCAATGAGGTCCTTTAACAAGATCTCAAGCTAAAAAGTTGCAAAACAAGGTCATTGGACTTCAAGAACGATCAAAGAAGTTGTTAGTTGGGAGGAAGAGCTTAAGGATAAAGGATATGAGTTATCTAGGTGTTATAATTATTTTATGGCCCAAATTCATGTCCAGTAGAGGTGGATTATATCCCAAGAAACATCCTCTGAGGAAGGTCCAAATCAGGCCACTATTGGACCAATTTAGCACCTAAAATGTGTCCAAACTTGCAGCCCATGAAGTCCAACATAAAGCCACGGTTTTATAGCATAAAAAGGACTTAATTGATGTCCAATAATGGTACAATAGTCATGCTAGATGTTGAGTGCAAGTTGGTGCCAAGTTGCTTGCAAATTTCCTTCAAGATTTTCAAGATTTCCAAGATTTTCAAGATTCTATCCAAGATTAATTTTGGATTTATTTCCATATATGTTGGGACTATATTTATTTCTTTCCTAGTTAGTTAAGGTTATGTTTTCCTTTTCCTAAGATTTTTGGAATTACTTTCCAAGAATGACTTGGTTTTTGCTTCCTAGTATTTTTCTTTTCCTAAAGTAGTTGGACTTGTTTTTCAAAGTAGTTTAGGACTTTATTTCCTTATTTTTTAGGCTTAATTTTGTGACACCTCTCTATATAAAGGGGTGTATTATTTGTATTTAGACTTAGATTATTCAGACTATTATCAATAAAAATTGTGAGATTTTTCTTGCACTCTTGTGTGTGGCTACTCTTGGATTTATTCTTCAACCTTCAAGACTCAACTTAAGGTGGTAAGATTAAATTCTTTCGAAATCTTAGATCACTTCGAGGTATTCAAGAAAGGTGATAAGTTTAGGCTTATCGTTGTTCTTGTTATTCTAAAGGGTCGGGTTTCACAATCTATCTCTTGTTTTAATTCTCTACCAAAGGCGATTAGTTCTTTGTTAGCTAATTGTTGTTGTTAGGATTCAACTTCAAGAATAGACTTCTTGAATTCAAGAAACTCTTTCTTGAATTCAATCTATCTTTAATTTTCCGTCCTTTTTCGTTTCTTTATTTTCTTTAAGCTTCCGTACGTTTCTTGATTTTCTTTAGTAATTCTTAAATCCCCTATCGTGTTGTTATCAGAATTAGATTATAATAATAGCAAAGAACTAGACTAAAAATACAAATGACTAACATGTACCATAGAATTTTAGAAACTTAATATATATATATATATATATATATATATATATATATATATATATATATATATATATATATAGGTGTAATAATAAATTTAAATAGCTACTTTTATAGTCGGTTTGATTCGATTTTTTTGGTTATTTTTTTGATTAAAACCAAAACCAAACCAAATTTGATTTGTTTTAAAATTCAAAAACAAAACAAAACCAAACCTAAAAGTATCGGTTTGATTCGGTTNAAACCTAAAAAGTATCGGTTTTTGATCGGTTTGGTTCGATTTTCGATTTGGTTCGATTTTTCGGATTTTTATGAACACCCCTAGGTATAACATTGAGAGACCCAAGGTGGGGTCCACATGAGGAGGAAGTGGCAGCTTCAAAAAGCTGCCGTGAATGTATGGCGTCATGCGTGTGAAATGAGGTGGCCCCTACTCTTTCGGCAAAGGTGATAAAGCCATGAAATACAATAGCTTGAAAGCAAGTAAACACTGATTTCATAAAATTCTTTTTAAATAAACTGGTGAAGTGTACATGTTGGCCCCAAGCTCTTCAAACTGTGGCTTATTAATAGTAAAATAAAAATAAAAATAAAATAGCGGGAATGCTTATCATAAAATAAATTGTACTCCTATTTATCTTAAAAATTATCTTATCTAATCACTTTGTATTTAAAATAAAATAACGAATAGATTATTTTGTATTTGAATCATCTTGAATCTAAAATCTTGAAGAAATTACACCCTTATTAGCTAGTGTTAATACTTTTAAGGTTATTTAAGGTATTTTAATAGAAAAAGAGTTTATTAGAACTTTTTAACCAAACACTTCAGCAACTTATTATCAATTTCAGTACTGTATTCAAACACGTAACTGCTTAATTTTAAATGAAAAATTTTCGTTCCTATACCATATAGGAAACTGTATTACCAAATATGTTCATAGTTTGCATATTACCCGTCATGCTAATAATATTTCTACAAAATATAGACAATTCATTAAATAAAGAATCATTGTAGCTGTAGGCTTCCTTATTTAGGCGTGCTAATATTGGGGAATTAAATATTCTTCCAGATATTTTGCAACGCAAATCACGCATTAATAATTATCGGCTGTTTCGATCCAAAATTTAGCGACTCTGTTTTTGCGATACACTGTGTTTCAACATTTTTTTTGATTTCACAAATCAAAAATGACTAACTTCTACAATTCTTCTGCAACAAACGCAATTATGTCCAAAATCCCAATTTCGCTACAACTGAATGGGAATTTTGATAGCTATGTGAGATTTAGAGAATTTCAGGTCGATGGCATTATAGTCGATGAGGATGCGAGTTATACTCTATTGATTTCTACAATAGCACAGCAATTAATGATCGATACATCCGAAAAAATTATAGAAATCAAATACATTCTCAACGAGCATTGTCCTTTAATGGAAATTAGGAACGATATGGGTATTCGTGTATACATGGAGACGAAAAAAGAAAACAAAAATCAGAATCATATCCGCTATGTATAACTGTTCGCGATTTCAATATGGAATTGAGTATCACCAATGAAAACACAGTTGCAGGTTTGTGCTGTTACATTTTCTATCAAATTCTGGTTGTATATCAATGTCCTACACTTTATCTATATTTTATCTACAAATAAACTACATGTTAGAGTAAATATATATATCAGTATGGATTTTCACAATATTTATAAAAATTCTACATTTATTCTACAATAAAATTACATATCATTTAAAAAATTAATATGAAATACAGAATTTCAATGTTTCTACAAATTATCTACAAAATTTCTACAAAACTGTTCATAACAAAATTTATCTTTATTTTCATGCAGGTTCGTCTGGAACACTAAAGTTACTTGATATGCCAATATCTCCCGTTATAGAGGAATATGAAAGTATAATAATAACAGATAGTACACCAATTTTTATTGAAATAGGACAAGTATACCAAGACAAGCAAATAATTGCAACTGTAATGAAGCACTATTCTGTTATGCACAAGTTTCAATTCAGGGTTAAAAGATCTAGTGTTAGAAGGTATGAACATTGCACTTGTTATTCTTTTTTATTTTGTAGTGTATTTTTAAAATTTTTACTTCTTCAGTTTTTTTTTTGGTGATATTGTTTAACAACATTGTAGATAGTTTGTAGTTGTTTTGTATATAAATTGTTGTATATGTTCTTTTATGCTAAAACTATTTTTTTTTGTGTGATCTACATTTTTTATACCAGTATTTAAATTATTTTTATTTTGTAGCTACTGGCTGGTATGTGTGGTGAAAATTGTACATGGCACTTCAAGGCAACAAACATAAATAATTCTGCTATGTTCAAGGTTAGAACATTCAACAGGTTGCACACATGCTCTTTGATGGACAGTACATTCATACAACGCAAACCTAATGCCATGGTAGTTGGTAGTATGGTTATTCCAAAATATGTTGATCCTAAGACAATTTACACGCCAAAAGACGTACAAATTGTTATGTTGTCTGAACACGCGCGTGAACTTAACATACATGCAAGCTTGGAGAACAAAGGAAAAGGCTTTGGAGTTTTTGAGAGGTCATCCTGCTGACTCCAACATCAAATTTCCTAGTTATTTGTATATTCTGGAGAAGACTTATCCGGGGTCTGTAGTTAAATTGAAGAAGACAGACGATGACTGCTTCTTGTATGTATTTGTTGCGATTTGTACGTCAATCAGTGGTTGGAAATATTGTAGGCCAGTTGTAGTAGTTGATGGGACCTTCTTAAAGTCAGCATATAGGGGAATAATGCTAACAACTAGAACAATGGATGCATCAGGTATTGTAGTTTTGTTGTAAAAATCTTGTAGAAATATTGTAGCTTGTCTGTTTTTTGTAGTACTTGTAGATTTATTGTAGATATATTGTTGAAAAGTTGTAGTTTGTATGTATATGTCTTCCTCTGCATTTTTCCTGCAGCCAATTAATTGCTATTTGCCACATAATGTAGGTACCATATTACCATTGGCATATGCTATTGTTGATTCAGAAAATAACGCATCATGGAAGTTGTTTTTTGAGCTATTCAAACATTCATATGGTAAAAGACCAAATATGTGTGTTGTTTCGGATAGGAATGAGTGTATCTTGAAGGCAACATCTATTGTTTATCCCGGCCTGCCACATTATTCTTGCATGTGGCATATTTGGACAAATATAAGGGCAAAGTTCAAGAAGGGTCATCTAAAGTTAAACGAATTGTACTTTGCCACGGCACGATCATACACGCTTGATGAATTTAATGAAAGGATGTCAAAGATTGAAGACATTGACCCGCGTGTTAAAGCATACTTATACGACATTGGCTACCATAGATGGTCTCGAGTACATGCTACAGTGAACAGAACTTGGACTATGACATCAAACATTGCAGAGTCGTTGAATGCTGTAATAAAATATGCAAGAGAGCTGCCGATAGTAGAACTATTAGAGTATATGAGGACTCTTCTTGAACGTTGGACGAAGGAAAAGTTATTGAAAGAAAAGGGTACATTCACATACCTTGGGTTTAAATTCAACAAAGAGTTGGATGACAACAGAACATTGTCGCACAAGCTTAGAGTAAGATCTGATCATTTATTGTATCAAATTAATTTATACAGGACAATGTAGATAATTTGTAGATATTTTGTAGATATTTTGTATTTAACCGTATATGAATTGTTTTTTTGTTTGCAATGTAATTATAGGCGAGGGCTTCAACATACTACATCCATACAATACTAGATGGTGTGAGGCGCTATATTGTTTGTCTTGAAAACAAGAGATGTAGTTGTGAGCAATTCTAGCTTGATGAACTTCCTTGTCCACATGCTTTGGCTGCTTTAAGACATAGGGATGAGTCTTTTGAATAATATTGTTCTCCTTATTACACAAGGAAGAACCTATTGCATACTTATGAAATACTAGTAAATCCCCTGCCTGATGAAAGCAAATGGAATGTGCCACAACATATATCTGAAGAAGTAGTAAATCCACCTACAGGAGGTAAAAGGCAGCCAGGAAGACCTCAAAAAGAAAGATACAAAACATATGATGAAATAAATTCAAAGAAGTACAAGGTTTCATGTGGCAACTGCGGAGGAGAAGGGCATAACAAAAGATCTTGCAAGAATGCATCCTAAAAGAAATAAAATTTTATGTAGTTAACAGAATATTTCATAAAAATTGTTGGTGAGTTCAGGATAACAGAATTTGATGTGTCATTGTTGAGGTTTTTAAGATCATAATGTAGTTAGTTAGGATTTTTCTGTATTGAGATAATACTTTCATAGAGTGATTTGTTTATGAATGGTTTTTTTATATATATATATATATATATATATATATATATATATATATATATATAGATATATATATATATATATATAGATATAAAATCTACCACTTTTTTACTATCTCTAGCATCCTTTACATAGTTGTTAATATTGTTTTGCAATTTATCTACAATACAACTACAAAAAAATTACATTAACTGGAATTGACAGAATACTACATTATAAATCAGTAGGAAAGAAGTTATATACTAAAATATTGTAGATCAAGTACTGTTTACATTCAACAAATGAATATAAAAGCAACAATACACATTGTTAAATATTTTCTACAAATTCAACTACAAAAAAACTACAATAGCTGGAGCTGACATAATAATTAGATTATAATTCAGCTAGAAAGAATTATATGCTAAAAATAATGTAGATCAGGTACTGTTTATATTCAACAAATTAAATGTAAAAGCAACAAAATGTTTAGTTACTCATTTTTACACTTTATCTACAGAAAAACAACAAAATAACTACATATTTTTGCGTTGACAGAATAACTGTATAAAATTCAGTTGGAAAGGATTTATATGCTAAAATAATGAAGATCAAGTACTGTAAACATTCAACAAGTGAATATAAAACCAACAGAATGTTTTCATTTGAACTACTATACTGGATAAGAAACAAAGGCTACTATAATTGTAGCGCAAGTCTGCTACAATTAAAACACAACAGTATTGTTCAAAAACTTGTCTACCATCTTTCTTCTAAACTAGCATCAACTAAACAATTGTACTACATGTTCCATACAAAACATTACAACTACTTCTTCTTCCTCTGGACTCGTGTTTTCTCATTCAAAGCTGGTGCACCTTTTCTCCTTGCCAATTTGCCAGTCACCTCACTTTCACTGATTGCCCCATGCTCCTGCTTCTTTCTAGCATAGTCCCAAAGTAGCGCTCCGTAGCTTCTACGATGTTGGTCAATATCAGAAAGTCTTCTGCCAGAATTGATAACTCTCCAAGACTAACATACTCTACAAAGGCAGCAACGAATACACCACAATCGCTGCAAAGATAAAAAAATGTCAATATTTACCAAACGATTAGAAAAAAAAGGGTTAAATGTATAGAAAGAAAGAAGATTTTTGTTACAGTGATCCTTCTTTTTGCTGTGGTATCTCTCCTACGATCAACTGAATGTTAAGAGGGTCGGTAACAGGTTTCTCAATGTATGCCTTTGTATTCTTGAAGTTGATGTCTTTACACTTCCCATAAAAACCGGTGCATGAAAAATACAAAGGGATAATAACAGAAAACTTGTCGACACAAGATTCAACAATAGGGTGATTGCGTGAAGAGACCATGGAATCATACGCATAAAATTGCCTGTCTGCAATGTCAAAAACAACCAATACCCAGCGGAATTTTTCTACAATGTTGACGGGCATGATGACATAATCAACTTCATCCCATGCAACATTTGCGAGTAGTCTATACCCCAATATATATTCTGCTACAACGTCCTCGGGTTTGACAACAGAAAACTTCTTTTCTTGAGGAGAATTTTGGAACTTTTCATAAATTTGTTCAATCCTAGTCTTGAACAAACAATCTGTTGTAGTAAACCTGGTCTTGTTGTAGGGGCCATACTTGCCTCTTTTCCTCAAGTAATATATTATAACATCAATGTGCTGCAACAATAACAGATTGCATTTATACTACAAGTTATCTGTAACGACCCGACCCGTCGTATCAGGTATTACCGCCCTGTTTTCCTCATTTATTGCTTCTTCATGTTTCATTATCAGCAACAAGTGAGTTAGAGTTGAATTGAATTGGTTTGGATAGTAAATGAGACACTTAGTCTCTTTAAGGAAGGCTTAAATTGGAAAAGTCAACCGGATGTTGACTTATGAGTTCGAAGGTTCGGATGTGATTTCCGATGATCCGGTTAGCTTCGGAAGATGATTTGTGACTTGGGAGCGTGATCTGAATTGGTTTTGGAGGTCCGGTGTAGAATTAGGCTTGAATTGGCGAAGTTAGCATTTTGGCGAAATCCGGTTGATATGTGAGATTTTGATCCGAGGGTCGGAATTGAATTCCGAGAGTTGCAGTAGCTTTGTTAGGTGATTTTGGATATGTCTGCAAATTTTCAGGTCAGTCGGACGTCGCTTGGTTGGGTTTTTGATCGAATGCGTAATTCGGAAGTTTTTAAGAAACACAGGCTTGAATTCGATGTAATTTGATGGCTTTAGCGTTGTTTGATGTGGTTTGATGATGGGAACAAGTTTGAATGAGGTATTAGGATGTATTGGTGCTTTTGGTTGAGGTCCCGGGGGGCCTCGGGATGATTTCGGATGGCTAACGGGGAGTTTTTGGAATTTCATACAGCTGAAGGCATGCTGTTTTGGTATTCTCGCTTCTGCGGGTCTGTCCGCAAAAGCGGACATCGCAGGAGCGGTGGTGACTGCAGAAGCGGTCCTGAGGATTTTAAGTTAGACCGCAGAAGCGGTTATTTTGCGCAGAAGCGGGAGCCGCAGGTGCGGTATCCCAACCGCAGAAGCGAAACCTGGCTGAGTTTAAGTGAACAGTGTTTTCACGATTTTGAAAGAGAAGAAACATTTTGGACTTCGGACTAAGGAGATTTTGGGCGATTTTTGAAGAGGGTTTCGAGGGCTATCATCAGGTATGGATTCTTGGGCTTAGATTATGTTATTATTGTGTATGAACATGAATTAACACTGAAAACCCAAGGAATTAAAGGGTAAAAATGGGGAAGTTAGGGTTTGAGAAAATTATGATGTAAAAATGGAATTTGGAGGGTCAAACGAACTCCGATTTTGGTAAATTTTATATGTATGGACTCGTGGAGAGACGAGGAATCCGGTGATGTGAATTTCGTAATTTTTCGAGAAGCGGGCCCGGGGCTCGGGTTTTGCTAGTTTCGAGATTCTTGCTAATTTTCGATTGTTTTCGATTGGGTATTGTTCCCTTAGCATATTGTGATGTATTCGCTCTAGTTTTGGTTAGATTCGACGCGCGTGGAGGCCGATTGAGGGGCAAAGGCGTCGCGAGCTAGGGATTTCACCGGTCCGAGGTGAGTAATACTTGTAAATGATATCCTGAGGGTTTGAAACCCCGGATTTGCACATCATAGTGCTGTATTGTGGTGACTTGCACGCCAGGTATGAGCGTGGGGTAGAGCACCGTTGGGGATTGTGACTTAGTCCGTCCCGGTTGTTGGTTTATTGCGTAATTGACTGAAACTACTTGTTATCATCATTATTTGGTTTGATTGCTATATTTGGGCTTCGTGCCAATTGTTTGAATCCTTCAGGGATTGATATCACTGTTTTTGCATTACTTTGCATATTATTTTATCACAGTCCAAGGTTTAAAATACTGTTTCGCAAACTCAGCTATCTTTCTAAGATTTGAAAACCTAAATGATATTTTACTGACGTTTTGAGTTGAGACTGTTATTTTACTATTGCCCAAGGGGCTTATGTGCATTTCTGGACTGAGGATGGATCGGGCTGCGTGCCGCAGCGGTGTGATATTGATATTGCGCTTGGGCTGTAGGAGCCCCTCCGGAGTCTGAAGCCCCACAGTGAGCGCGGGTACCCAAATGGATCGGGCTGCGCGCCGCAGCGGTCATATGCATTGCATTGCATTCATGCATTGGTTCCTGTTTGTACTACGTGTCATGACATTTAGCACTCTCATATCATTGGCATCCATGCTATTGCTTGTACTGTTTACCAGACGCCCTGGTGTTAACTGTTTGTGGAGTGCTGTGCCCGAGGGGCTGTCTTATGTGCGGACTTGCACTATCTGATTACGCGTTCATTTGCTTGACTGTTGGAAATGGATGTTTTCAAAAGAGGTTTTAAACTGAGCCAGATATTTTCTAAAGGATTTTCACGGTTTTACTGTGTTCTCAAAGAGTGGTACTGTCCTATATAGCATGATGGATTGCTCTTACGTGATTTCTTGCCTCTCAGTTATTATTTACTCTTATTACTCACTGAGTTGGAAGTACTCACTTTACTCCCCGCACCTCGCGTGCAGTTGCAGGTATTGTTCACCTGGTAGCGGGTTATTAGCTGATTGAAGGTATGGCTATTGTAGCTGAGTAAGGTGACCGCCAGCGTTCGCGGCACCGGATGTTGTCTTTTGATTTCCAGGATTTTTTTCTTATATATTATTATTGGCCCTGTAGTTGTGTTCAGGTTTCTTTAGATGCTCGTGACTTGTGACACCCCGGTCGGGTTGTGTTGGGTTGTACATACTGGTTATTATTGTCGTTAAGCTATATTTATCTATACATTTATGTTTAATA